CGGCCCGCCAGCCCAGGGCCCCCGCACACGGCGCCCGGCCCCGCGCTCGGAGCAGCCACGCGGCACCAGAGCTTCTTCCGTTTATTTCTTTTTCCCCCCCTCTTTTTTATTTTTTCCTTCCCCCTTGCCCAACCTGCCAATCTGGGGGGGGGCTGTTTGGTTTCTGCATTTTTTTTTTTCCTCCTCTCTCAACATCTGGAAATTTCCGACTCCTCTCCAGTCTGAAAAAAAAGGAAAAAAAAAAGCCTTAATGAGATAAAAATCCTGGGAATCCAATTTGAATGCTGGTGCCCGGGCTCAAGAGTGACTGTGCTACTGGCACTGGGGCAGGAAAGTGGCGGCCGGCGCTGGTGGCACCAGCTCCCTGGGACACAGCTCGGGGTCTCGGAGCGGTGAGGAGCCCCTGGAATGAGGAGCCCTTGGAATGAGGAGCCCTTGGAATGAGGAGCCCCTGGAATGAGGAGCCTCTGGAATGAGGAGCCTCTGGAATGAGGAGCACAGGGGCCTGGGGACGGACGGACGGACGGACACCGTGGCCTCGCGCCTGTGCCGCCCGCACGGCGAAGAGCTCCGGGGCACCCGGCGCATCCCAGCGGTGCCACAGGAATGCGAAACCTGGAGAGGGAAAAAAAAAAAAAAGAGTTTAAAAATGTTTAAAAAGAGAAATAGGATCCAAAGCCCCCGGGGGGGGTCTCCGAGCCGGCGCGAGCGAGGGCAGCGCGTCCGCCCTGCTGCCACGTGAGCCCTGGGGAGATCGCGGCACGAGCTACCAGGCAGGGAGGCACGATCCATTTCTTACAAGAAATAATAATAATAATAATAATAGTCCCTTCAGCGAGAGAAATCCTGGGCTTGAATCGGAGGGGGAAGAGCTTTCCCGGCGGGGGCCAGCGCGCTGCAGACAAAGGGGCTCGGTGGCTTTAAGTGCATTGTTTTCTGAATGGCGAGAAAAGGCAATTGTAAATTGTATTGGTCTACAGGGTATATTTTTGATACCTTCGGTGAATTATGTCAATATTTTACGCAAGGAAGGACTTTAACAAAACACAGTATTACATGCTGTAAAAGAGGTTTCTGTTCTTACCCGCGGGGCTTTGATGCATTTGTCCATTGTATGGAAATGTTTAAAAAAAAGAAAAAAAAAAGAAAAAAAAGGAGAAGGCAACGTTGATCCATCAGAGTCACCTGTAAGGCAGGAGAATGTATGAACGTAGTTAAAACACACACAAAAAACCCCTTGTCGTGGTCACGGGGCCCACGGAGCCGTGCCGAGCTCGCCGGGTGCAGGGCGCGAGGCCAGGGAGCTCGCAGCAAACGTTTAAAGGAAAAAAAAAAGAAAAAAGGAAAAAAAAAGTTTTTATTGTATTTTTGTGATACACACGAATGCTCTACTTTACGTTTTTTTTTTTCATTCCATGATGTTGGATCATATCTGCAGTTACATGGTTAAAGAACAAAATATTAGACTTTTTTTTTTCGTTCACTTCTGCTTTCTCGCTCCGGGGGAAAACAATGGCAAAAAAAAGAAAAAAAAAACCCAAAATGTATTAAATGCTTCGCATTCTGTACGCTCGAGGAAAAACAAAAATAACAAGCCCCACGGCACAGACTTTCTGCCTCTTCTGCTGCTGGGTGGAGGAGCCGGGGGGAGGAGAGGGGATGGCGCCGGCCCGATTCCTTTTCCCCCTTCCCATGTTTGAGGTTGATTCCGATTTCAAAGCAAGGGAATGACGGGGTTCGTTCTTTGTTTGGGGTTTGCGGTTTTGGTTTTTTTTTTTTTTTCCGTTTTTTACAATGTACAGGTTTTTAATGTTCATCAATGTTTTGTCTTTTCTGTTGTGCCTTTTTTTTTTTTTTTAAGAAAAAAAAAAAGAAAGGGAGAAAACGCACGAGCGCTGTGGGCAGTCTGTGGGTCCCCGGGGTGCTGGTGCCGGCAGCTCCGCGGCTCTGCCCTGTCACGCCGGCAGGGCCGCTCGTCGGGAATAGCTGTGAATGTGCTCCAGGTCCTGCCGGGAAAAGCCCCGATTCCAGCCCTCTTTGGAGCCCTAACTTTTTTGGGGGTAAAAAAAAGCAGAACAAAAACCGGGCAAAGAACAAAGCTACCATTGGGCACGGCAGCAGTGCTGCGAGATGCTTCGGACTCAGGAGGACGTCGAGAAAGTTGGTTTTCTAATGGCAAGTGGATGCGGTTGCGATGGGAATGGTCACGGGAGAGCCCATGGGGGCTCTGTGGGATGCGCCGGGCTGAACCTGGCGTCTCCTTCCCGTCCCCTTTGGTTTCCAGCTGCATTGAGGGCCGAGCAAGGAGCTGCCGAGGGCTCGTGAGGAGTCCGAGGGGCTCAAAGCCGCACAAATAACCTGGAGGGTTGGTTTAGTCGGTGCTCCCCTCCGAGGGATGGGTGGATAGGCAGATGTTATTGGCAGCTTCTGGGAACTGCTGTTTGTGGGAGGAGGGATGCTCAGCAGCCCCCGGCTCTTCTTCTGGTCCCGTCTTTTAGGTGTATCCAACATGGGCTCTGCAGCAGCAGGATCCTGCGCTTGGAAAAGTCCAACTCAGAAGCTCTGGTTCATGCCCTGGCCTTGGCTGCTTCACTGCCCTTCTCGGCCCTTTCTGTCCTGCTGCGTCTCCGTGTGCTGCTCCGCAGCCAGGGATGGCTGCAGGCTCTGGGCTCGTCACCCAAAGAGAGAGGAGAAAGATATAGGAAGGGGCTGGGGGCAGCAGCCTTAAGCAGCTTAACCCTGAGTTTGGGGTGGCCATTCCTGATGCCCCGTTGTGCAAGGAAAGGAGCCCTGGGCAATTTATCACTTGAACTGTGCAAAGCTGGGAAGGGGAAATCCCTCTTCTGTACAACCAAGCTGTGCAGAGCTGTTCTATACGATAGACCGGGCTGTATGTACATCCCCAGGATGTAAATATTTACGCAGCTTGCTATAAAACCTTGCCTTTCTTCTACTCCAGGTGGAGGTTTCTGCTCGCTGCTTTTCCGCTCGATGTTCCCGCTCCTGAGCCGTGCGGGTGGCAGTGTCCCCATGCTGCCTGCCCGGTTAAATAATAATCTAAAAAAAAAAAAAAGCAAGCTAAGAGGCAAGCACAAAGCTTATTTGCCAGCAAAGAGCAGCCGTTCCTGCTGCTTGGCGTGTGCAATCCCGGGAGGTGCTTGCAGGGCCGTGCAGGGTGACGGGCACCGGTTCCACGCGGCCCCCAAGGAGCCGCGAGCGTTTCCAGCCGCCGCCGCTGCGACCTTCCGGGTGTTTTTGTTGAAATCCTCCTTGGAAAGGCCTGCAGCTCCAAAGGCAGCGAGGGTAAGTTAATGAATAGCCTCACCTGCATCGGCACCGAAACAACGATGAGCGCCGAGAGCAACCGCCGTAGTCAACAGCTCGCAGGGATGCTGAAGAAACAGAAGGTGGGAAAACTGTAAATTTGAGAGCAACACTTGTGATTTAATGAGAGAGAACCTTAGGCCTACTCGAAAAGCTCTTGCATAAGGATTGAAAATGAAACGGGACAAAAGCAGATGGCTTCTGAAAGCAGCAATAAAAAAAGTGGTAGAAATCCAGGCTCGCTCAGCTTGAGAGCTGGCGGCAGATGGGACTTTCTCAAGGGGACAGGGA